ACATCCCATTAATTGGCACCCTGCCCATCACCTTCCACATTCATTCTCTTCATCACCAACATACAGTGGCAGCTTTTGCACCATCTGCAAGATGTATGTAGTAATTCACCAAGGCTTCTCCAGCAGCACCATCCAAATCCGCCAACCTTCCCATCTGGAAGGACAGAGGCAGCAGATGCAGAGGGACAGCACCACCTATTAGAGCCCCCTCAAACCACACACAACATCCTGACTTGGAACTATATTGCCATTTGTCCCTAACCACACTGTATCTGCTGTCCAGGACTGCAGTTTCAAACAAAGGCTGCTCACCACACTTACTTACTTACAGGCAATTAGGAATGGGTAATTAATATTGTATTAGACAGTGATGGCCATATCCCATGAATGAATTAAAAAAAATGGTAGCCATTCTCTGAGTTCTCCAACTTCACTAGAATCTTAACTTTGGCTAACTTGTTTCACTCCACTGGAGACAGTAAAAGCTATCATCCTTAAGACTCATGCCACAAACTCATGCCCCTATCTGTGCCCTTTGCCAAGCTATTGCACTACAGTTAAAACATTGCCTAATAAAGTAGAAAATTGTCTGGGTATATCTTGACCACAAAAAACAGGGCAAACGTAATGCTGTCAATAGCTATCCAATAAGTCAACTCTCAATCATCAACAAATGATGGAAAGTGTTGTTGAAATATCAGCAAATGGTTCTTGCTAAACAGTTACCTGCATGCCCCATTTCGGGTCTGCCAGGACTACGAGACTTTATTGCAGCCTTGCCCCAAATGGGCCAAAATTACTAAATTTCGGAGGTGAGATGACAGCCATCAACGTTGACATCAAGGCAGCATTGTGGTACCAATGTGGTACCTGCAGAATTGAAATCAGTGGGAAGTTCCAACTACATATAGTTGTACCAAGCACTGGACAAAAAGCTGTAATTGTTGGAGGCCAATTATCTCAGCTGCAGCATGCTATTGCGGGAGTTTCTCAGTTTGATGCCCTACGCTCAATCGTTTTCAGTCTATTCATGAATGACCTTGCATCCATGAGCAGGTCAGAGCAGGGACATTCACTGATGATTGCACAGTCTTCAATTTCATTTAAAAATACGCATGGTGAAGCAATAAGTGGTTAAATGTAACAAGTCTAGACAACATTCAAGCTTTGTCTGATAAGTGGCAAGTAATATCAGTGCCACACAAGTGTTAGACAATGTCTATCTTCAACAAGAGAGAATCTAACTGCCTACCTTCACCATTCAATTGTATTTCCATTGCTGAATCCCCAACTACCAACATCCTGGATGTTACCATTGACCAGAAACAGAATTGGACCAGATACACGTATTCTGTAGGAGCAGATTAGAAGTTGATTCAAGTGTAGCAATTCACTCAGCTCCTGACTCTTCAGCTCTTTTAAACACAAGACACCAGTCAGGAATGTGGCTGAATTATCTTCCACTTCATTGGATGTGTGTAGTTCCATAGAACTCAATAAATTTAAAAAAAAACCCGGAACAACAGTTGATCCTGAAAATGAATGTCAAAATGAATCAATTTTCCAGGGATCTGAACATGGATTTTGAACAAGTGGGTAGATCATTGATA